TTTTAGTATTACATTAATTTTGTTTTTAATTTTCTCGTTATATTTCAGTTTTATCGTGACAAATGTTGTATAGTAGGTATAATGATAAGATGTTTTATGAAGTGAATTCCTTTTACGTCATCTGTTGTAACTCTTTCACCTACGTAATAGTGTTATAAAAGAAATATATTTCATTTGCAATATGTAAAGCTCAGTTCGTAACCAAAAGACTCTTAGTTTGGATTTGAAAAAAAGTACTGAATAACAGGATACAAGTAACTACAAGAGCGTTGTCCGAATAGCTTTTACATGAATGTGAAAACAATATGAATAAACTATTAGTAAGTCTAAAGGCACTTCTGAAGTAATCACAACAGTTTTCATAGCAATAATTCGATTCAGTATAAACGTATGACAAATTTTTGTAGCTTAGTTAGTTAAAGTAATAGACAGGTTTTTAATCGTTTTTAAAATATTATTAGGAATAGTAAAACTACGTTTGATGGTAGCTATAAAATATTAAGTAAGTCGCATATGTCTTATAACCATGGCAGATGAAGCGTATATCAATTAATTAAGTAATTAAGTAATAAGTGAACATTAAGACCTTAGTACAAATGATCGACTTATAATGGGACGAAAAGCTATGCGAGTTTATTTGAAAATAAAAATTTTCTAATTGCATTGATGGAAAACTGTTTCAGTTATCAATCTGTATTGCCTTCAACTCTGTATTATCTACTTACTGATGCGGACTATATTTACGTATACTGATGCTTCAGAATATAAATGAAACGTAAAATAAGATTTTCAGTGTGCTACTGCATTTAAAGATTCAAGAGCAGGTTAATAATATGGAATTATTCTTCAAGTATTCAGATGTTCTTTTTTTTCGATTGAAAGAAGTGTGGTACCATGTAAGAAAACCATCAGATATTTATGAACATTTTCATGTTTCTTAGCAATTCTTAACAAAACAGTATTGCGTGTGATGGATCAAGAGACTATTTGTTTTCATGACAGCGATAGAAATACACTCATCAAAATTCCTGAACTAATCTGGTAGGAAGATATGATCTTCCAGGTTTGATGGTGATTAGCGTCACAGTTAATCATTTATAATACTATTTGTTAAGCCCATAAATTCTAAGGAAACAGAAACGTTGGATTATTAGTTTCAGTATCAGGTCGCAAAGGACAGGATGCTTGTTGGCATCTGTCAGTCCTGGTAGTGATAGTATCTCAGTTGATCCAACTTTCTTTTGAAAGAGTCGACAGATGGAGCTTCAATTCGTTGATGATTCGATGGGGAAGTCGATAGTCAGCTGACATGTAATTTGTTCTGCACTTGTGAATCTTTTTAGAGTGTCGTCGTAAATTCTCTGTTTTGGAAGTCAAAATTGGGGGCATATCAGGTGCAAATTTATCACTAAGTAATTTGAAAATTGTTTTCAGGTCACATCTGGTTCTTCCATGTGACAGCGGGTATAGATTTAGTTTAGTCAGTCGAGCATCATACGGGAGCTTCCCTATTTTGGAAATCAGCTTATTTGGTGTTCTCTGAACTCTTTACAAAAATCACTATCTTTCTTTAAACAGAGGCGGGCCGCTTGTATGCAGTACTCAACTTTAGGACATACGAACAATGTATACAAAGTCAAAAAACGTTTTAGCGTCGAGATGACCAAAAGCCTTACGTATTGATCATATGGTTCTAGAATCTTAGGTGGCTATTGTACGGTAGTGTCCAGTAGTTTTTAAGTCTTCGATAAAGATGAATTCTGAGTTATTGTGTGTCTGGACAACAGAAACTTTGTCAATAGCTTTGTTGAAGTCAATGTAGGCTACGTCTAAAGATAGCTTTTGATCTTTAAGAGCCCATCACTTTCGCCACTAATAAGTAAGTGAGACAGGAATAACCTAGTTCAAAACTATGCTGATTTTTCAAAAGGATACGGTCTTCAGTGAGATACATAAACAGCTCCTTCCGAATAATCATTTCTAAAATTTTAACAACCACGCTGGTTAGTCTAACGGGTGCTAGTTCTCACGTTTATGTTTCGTACCTCTTTTGAAGACAGGACTTAATGTGGCGTTCTTCCAGTCGACCCTGAGTTACGGATAGATTAAAACATGTGCTACACCCATAGTGGCTTCGGCATCATTCTCTGTCGGAGCCTCACAACCTAATATTTTGCAAGTTTTGGGGGTCTTTTTGCAAGTACCTAACCTAAGTTTTGGTTCTTCTTTTCGGCTTCCCGCCTTTTTACACTGTCTTTAAGTGAAAGCCTTTAAAGACAAGAACTCCTGAACCCTTTAGTTTATGTACATTCTTTAATATTAAAGACATTTTCGTAGGATATTGAAACACTACTTTAAGCAGACTGGTTTGATTTTGTTTCAAGTTCGTTTGGCTACCTAGTCTATACACCTTTAGCAAAGTGACTCGGAGATATCCTGAAACATAAGCTGATTTAGTAGCTGTTTTATCAACCTAATGTCATGCTCAAAACGAGTTTTAGGATTTGAGCTTTCACTATCCTTGATTCTATGAAAGATAATTGACCTGTCACTGCGATCAGTCCTTAATTTCTCGGCTACTTTTTGGAGGGTTGGATTTTATTTAATAGCGTTATGTCATTTCTTGTTCTCGACCCGTACTCATTCATCAACTTTCGTTGGAGTACCAACCACTGTCGCGGCAAATACACTGTGAGATTCCTAAATGTTATCGACGACATGGGCAGTCAGGTTGTTTTTCCTGCTGGAGACAAATCTAGCCTTGTGATTGAGATTTCTAGGCGTTTCCTGCCGACTACCATTTAGAGGACGAGGGATAGAGAAAACTTCGTTTCTTGCGTTTTTATATAGGACAGACGTCTTTGAAATCGGTCTTTTCTCCTTTGATCGATGTGAGCAAACTATTTGTGTGTCGACAGAGCGAGTACTGTCCGAGAAGTCCCGACCTAGTATGGTAATACACTTTTAAGCAATATTTCCCACTGAAATGGTCACAGCTAGCAAGCTGTTTGCGTCCGAGGTGCACTGCTGACAGAACCGCACTCAACCATTATTACTAAACCGTTTGGAAGCCGCAGGCGTTAGAGTCCTGGAAACATCGCGGTACCAGCCTTTGCACTCGTCGCAATGCATGCCGCTTTCAACAGGGTATCAACAACCCGAGTGTTAGTAATTGCTTTTCTTACGCTGTACAGCCATCAGAGGTTTTCATAAAGAAATTAGATATAATAACACCCAAGGACAAAAGTTATCTATGACCAAAAAGGTGGAAAACTGTAAATTGTTAGAACCAAAAGTGCTAACAAATACAATAGAAATAAAGTACTCCAAGGTATCGACGATAAACTACTTCGGAAACAAAAACGATTCTCTTAGCGGATACTTTAACTGAAATAAATTCAACCAAAGTGTAAACAGTAATCTTGATACGTGATAAACAATCAAAATAATAAAATTTACTCGGTGAGGAAAAATATCATTACCATTTTTAAATAGCGCGCGGTGTTTGTAATTTTATTTTTTTACGAATAGACTTTCTTTGTAAATAGTTGACTCTTGGGTTTCATTGAAAAGTCAACTCATCAAGCAATACTCTAACTTCTAGATTTTCCATTAACGCATTTTCTCGTTTAGTAAAATGTCGACTTGGCTACACGTCATCAAGTAAATATACTAAAATACTTTAAGTATACTATAATGAACATTTGGACTGTTTTATAGATTTCCGCTGATTTGCTTCAATTTCCTTTCAAAATATCGTTGGGTGTCATGCACAGTCTCAGTTTAATAGAGCAGTGAACTTATAACATGATGTTACCTTGATCAAGAAATTAGCAAATACGTAACCGTCGTGAATTTTCTTATTTATATCACAAAAATCTCTATTTGCCAGTCTTTGTTAATTTTAATTATGGAACATTATTCAGTACAAACTGTCGTAAGCATTCCGAAATATTTATTTTCTCCTCTTGATTACATGTGAACATAACTAATTGAAAAACATCAAAAGACAATGATTGTAAGTAATATAAAGCAAAGATATTTTTTCTCTAATGTACAATAATAAATATATACATGCAAAAATATACAGTCGTACATAAAGAAGATATTTATATAATAATACACAGAAATATTCAGAAGAACTTGATTATCGTGAAATCATTGATGGTTAAATGCAATAAACAAAGAAACCAACTAAATATAACTGTTTAGTACATCTTTCACTACATCAAAATACTTTTTTATATCATTCCAAATACCTGATGATGAGGTAGATTTAAAAAAAAACCTTATAAATAAAAAAGCTGTCCGATAACTGTATAATTCTTTACATATTAAAATAAGCTTAGTCTATAAAGACATATTATTAACAGTTCATTTGAATACCTATAAAAAATGATCAAATGAAAATCAGTTCTTTATATATATGCAAAAATAAGAATAATTAAGAAAAGGTTTGGAATGTTAAATGATTATGGCAATGAAGCTGCTACTGACCATTAAATAATCATTATCATCACAGAGATCCAAATCAAATTGTAACAGTTTCAAAATGATTTATGAATGCATGTAAAACAAAAGAGGAATGAAATAATAATTTTCATTTAATTGTATTTTAAAGATTGTATTTTTAAAAATAAATATCATAAGAAGGGGTCTGTGGAAATTTTTAGAAATTTTCACAGATTGAAATCATGAGTCAGTTGAAGCTAGACCACTTTTGAAAACCTGGAAGCACTGAACGGCCGTTTCATCCTAGTATGGGACTCCTCAGCAGTGCGCATCCACGATCCCGCACCACGCGAGGCTCGAACCCAGGACCTACTGGTTGAAGTTAGACATTGACACCGTTGGATGCCGGCTCAGTGGTCTAATGGTTAAGTGCTCGCGCGCGAAGCCAGTAGGTCCTGGGCTCGAGCCTCGCGTGGTGCGGGATCGTGGATGCGCACTGCTGAGGAGTCCCATGCTAGGACGCAAAGGCCGTCCAGTGCTTCCAGGTTTTCAATGGTGGTCTAGCTTCAACTTACTCATGATTTCAATCTGTGAAAATATCATAAGAGATATAATTCGATATATATACTCTTTTGTTCTCAGAAAACGCATAATATAACCGCAACGAACCAAGTATACTGATAGTGAATTTGACCTCTACCTGTATATTAATAATATTCTTTCTTATTTCCCTTCGAGAATTGAGTCCTTTAACTATCCTCTGCGTGACAAAATTGAAGTATACGTACTATATGAAATAAATTGCTGATAACTTTTAAAAACATATGGTACTCACTTTTACTGTGGATATCTCCTCTTATGGTGAAACGAATTTTTTTTCTGTCAATTTAAAAACTGTTTGTTTTTGGTTTAATGAATACATAAGTAACGCGTTGTATAAATATCAAAATATTATTTTTCGTAGTTATTTATATCAAGTATATAGAAAAAATATACCATTCAATGTAACTCATAAACATTATCTTACCAAAATATGTCCTCTGAGCTTGTATTGAACAGAAGGGTTGCTTTAAAATAAACCAAAATATAAATTATGTAAATCGTTATATAAAAGTAACTTTCAAGATATTACCCTATGAAGAAATAAACAATTCATTTTAAACTTATATTCGATGTAAAACCAAAATTTCCTATAATTAGAGAATAATCTTGACACACTTTTCATCATAATGTTGTTGAAGCTAACAACACGCTCACTGCTATTTTTAATTAAAATGGTTTACAAATGACTGTAAACCTTTTTAGTTACTTATTTTGAGTGTAGTTAGGTTTTACTACAACGATCTAAATGAATAACATAGAGAATTTAGGTTTGTTTAATTTAACGTAAGTTGACACCTTTACATATCTGGGTGGCATCATTGATGAACACAGTGGATCTGATGCAGATGTGAAGGCGCGGTACGGTAAAGCAAGAGCAGCATATCTACAACTGAAGAACATCTGGAAGTCAACACAACTGTCAACCAACACCAAGGTCAGAATTTTTAATACAAATGTCAAAACAGTTTTACTGTATGGGCCGGAAACCTGAAGAACTACGAAAGCCATCATACAGAAGATATAAGTGTTCATTAATAATAGTCTACGCAAGATACACTATCAGCAACAACGTACTATGGGAGAGATTAGACCAGATTCCAGCGGACGAAGAAATCTGGAAGAAGCGCTGGAAGTGGATAGGACACACATTGAGGAAAGCACCCAACTACGTCACAAGGCAAGCCCTCACATGCATCCTGAAGGTCAAAGGAAAAAAGGAAAACCAAAGAACACATTACGCCGAGCAATGGAAACAGATATGAGAAAAATGAACAACAACTGGACAGAACTGTAAAGGAAGGCCCAGGACAGAGTGGGTTGGAGAATGCTGGTCGACGGCCTATGCTCCATCGGCGTTAACAGACGTATGTAACTTTTTGTAGGTCGTTTTGTATTAGCACAAAAGTTATCTAAAGAAAACCTTATCATAATACTTTTCTGCGTTTTCCACTTAATATTTGGATTATGATGATATCTGAAACGTGTTATTTCTATTATATATATTTCCAGATAGCACTTCATTCTTATAAAATAAACACATGTAAAAGACCATTGATATATAAAAGTTCACTGGAAGTGCATATGAATCTGTCAAGTTTATGTCAATTACCAATTACTTAAAATGTTCATTATTTAAGCTTTCGTATGAAACCACAGTTATCTCATGGATCGATTAATTATTATTTAATATAACAAACAAGCGTACTTACACTCTTCCTAAAATCAATGTTTGTTCGAACTGATCGATTATTCAATTTTTGAATGGTTCGGTAATTGTCAGCCATGCTGCCTGATCCTCGAAATGGCGCTATTCGAAGTTGACGAAGAGATTTTAGCTAAGATATTAGTGTGATAAGATAGAAACAGATACATATTAGTTCTTTAGAGATAATATATTTAAAAGGCGACAATAACGTAATATACATCCCTTTGAATATAGTGTTGTTGACCATACTGACCAAGCAAAAGCACTAAAAAATTCAAACGAATATATCACTGCAAAATGTTACATTTCAAATCAAAATTGTTGGTGAGTTATTCATATTTTTAAAGGAGTGATTAGTTTTACGCATCACTTGATTCCAGCAACAAAATAACCATCGAGTGTTGGCATGTGATTTTGTTTGTTTGAATGATTCTAGGATATTCGTTCCCCTTTTTTTAAAACTATATTCATCATAATATGCAAGCTGGATTTATGTGTGTTTTTCATGTGTAATAATAAGTGAAAAACACAATCAGTCTTTTATTTGAATGATGCCACATTCAAATAAACAAGTACATTTTCCGGAAAATTTGGCATGAAAATAATATGCACTTAATAATTTCGTATAAACTAACTATACTTATATGATAAAGCATTTTACACAAACGGAGTAATTTTAGAGATAACTTTCTATTCAAAATGAAGTATAGTGTTGAATTTTTATATGCCGAACAATGTACACACTAATTACTCTGAGCAAATTTGTATTTAGAATAATCTTTACTAATTAGTTGTTTGGTTTTCAATATCTGTGTTATATGAGACAACTTTTTAATAATATGTAATAGCTTTTTTTAAATCCTGGAATATTTTATGCAAACCAGAAATTCTACTATAGAAGCATCGCAATTAGCTTTCATAGATCTTTCGAATATTAATTATCTGTAGTGGACCTCTTTTTATGATTGTAACTCTCATGCACACAATACACACGATACCTCAATCCTCTTTTGATTTCGTACTAAAAATCGTCATCAAACATATTTGTCGGGTAGTAACTTATATAACAGATGATGTTTCTTTATTCATCTGTATCGATAAAAGAACAGAATACATGAAAAATGATATATAAGGTTGATAACAAATAAACATTGTAAACCAACGTGATCAGTCAAGAAGGTGAACCAATCACTGAGATTTAAGGACGGAGGAATAGATGGAGAGAATACTTTGGAAAACTTTTGGATAAATAAGCCACAATGAGCCTATCGGACATTAAAGGAGCACATACAGACCTTTCTATAGGTTCTACGTCATCATCAACTGAAGAAATTAGCATGGCCACCAGATACATCAAATGTAGAAAGGCAACAAGACCAGGCAGCGTACTAGCAGAAGCACTGAAGCCAGACATAGTATTAATCCTTAAGATACTGCACATACTTTTCAAAAGGATTTCGGAGAAAGAACAAGTACCAACAGACTATAAAGGTTAATATGTTTGCAATGGCCCAGGTGCATCCACTCTTTGTGATCTTCCAAATTCTAATCTCCTGATTCCTCCATGTCTCTTTTTTCCTCTTCACAAATTTATTTCACTGGATTATACTCTTTGAATAACATCAAACCCTAATGTTTCTGATTACTGCTTATACTCTTACTACCTCTACCACTACGGGATTTGAATGGACAACTGCATCTCTGTGCTAATGTGGTGTAGCAACTCGAACTGATGTACGTACGTACGTACGAAGTTCTACGTTGTTACTGACTGACTGACTGACTGACTGGCTGACTGACTGACTGACTGACTGACTGACTGACTGACTGACTGACTGACTGACTGACTGACTGACTGACTGAAAGGTTAATATATCAAGACACTAAAGAAGGGAAATCTGATCAGGCGCGAGAACTAAAATGGCATCACATTTCTGTCGGTATCAGGAAAAGGTTTTAATAGAGTGTTTCTGAACTGGATGAAATATTCTGTAGACACCCAGCTTCGAGATCAACAGGGATCGAATGCGCATGGACCAAATAGCTAAACTACGGTTCATCGTTGAACAATCAATTGAATGGAACGCGTCACTATACATTAACCTCCTTGACTATGAGAAAGCATTTGGTTGTAATGATAAGAGAATCCCATGGAACCACCTCCAACACTGGTATAATTCAGCCTTAGTCAGAATTCTTACGAAGTTCTGCACTGTGAAGCCGTGCATGGAAAGCAGTTCACAGACTCATTCCAAATGAACTTTAATGTCAGACAAAGCTAGGTTTTATTGCCAGTTTTACGTCCTCTACTTGGTTACGACAGGATTCTATATACAACTAACGGCAGTCGAGAGTGTAGAATCCCACAGTTACAAACCAGAAAACGAAAGAAGCAGGGGAAGTGATTATTGGGAAGGAAAAACATGGGTATTTATAATTATTAGTATTGTCTATAACACCATTATAATTCAGCCAGTTCGTAAGGAGACTAGTTATGCTATCGTCCAACCGTAGCATGTGATGCTGATATTTTAGAAGGCAGTGCAAGAAACTAGCATTTTCTTATCAATAATTAGTTAGTCAGCAATTGTTAGTTATTTCCATAGTTTAGCCGTAATTAGCCATCATTCGGACATTTTATGCAGCCCAACTTGTCATTATTGAAAAGACAAGAATTACATTTCACTGAAAACCCAAACAGCATGTAAGTGATTGTGTCACATCCGATTGTGTCTATTAAACACGTACGTAGGGAGGAACAATCGTGATCTGAAATTAAGGGTGGGTGAACACATACCAAAATGGCTGCAGAAACAGATGAATTCCGATGGTCAAATAAGATCAAATGATAGACAGACGTCTTCCCCAATTGCGAAACATGTGATGGAGACTGATCATAACATTGATATCAAGTCAGCATTTGTAGTATTGTACAAAAGAATTCAAGGACATATACTAAGGTTTATTGAAGCGTTGGCTATACGGAAATTGAAACCCTCTTTGTGCGTTCAAAATAATTTGTCCTTACACTTAACATGCCCTGGTAATACTGATTTATTATTTAGAGTGGTTTTTACGTTGTTTTTCTGTAATTTTTTATTTTTTATTTTGTTACGACTTATCTTTAACCTGAGTAGTTGACCTTTTAATTTTCATATAAAAATGTTCTTAACAAGTATATGTGTGGTCAGATTGTTTGAAATGTATTACGTAAATATATCACATAATTCTGATAAACTTCATCTTCCAAAAGGACTAATTGTTTTAATTTAGGTTCGCCACTATTTATTATGAAAGCTTATGCCTTATATGATTACATACAAGATGGCAGTCCTGAGTTCGATTGCCGTTTCCATGGTCGTTGACGTACACTGCTGAGATGTCTCTTTCTATAATAAAACAGACGTCTAGTGCATCCACGTTCTCAATGTTAGCCTGACTAAGATCAGCTTTTAATTTAAATATATTTATTCTCTGTAGGAAACTTATAATTATGGTTTCGTTATACGCTTAGTTGCTAGGATAATTTATTCAACACAAAAGTTTCATATTTGGAGTTATTAAGAATGGTCTATGAGTTTTGAATATATGTTGTCTTACCTGAGTTTCTGTAATTACGATCGGTTGATTAAGCAAAATCCATGTTGCAGTCTCATAACAGGCAGGAAATGGTAAAGAGCCTTGGTAAGTAATATATTGCATAGTAGACGGTAAAACAGCATCCAACAGCAAACCATGAAGCCTTTTAGATTGTCCTTTAAAGAACATTTGTTTGTTAATACAATTAAGAATAATGAAAAAAAATTAGACAATGAGTATATCTACATGATCGAATATTGGCAGCAACATAAAGAAATCTGAAACTATTTTCTAGCCATCTTATCTGTTATACATAGAAATAACATGTAATACACAATAAAAGTTACGTTCTTTTATGTAAATACTGTCTGTCAATTTTCATCTAAATTCATAATAGTATGTAGATAATGATAAACAAATTTCTGCGAACTGACAAAAGTAATCTACCTAATTATCAATTCATTCTTCAGTAATAATATTCAATTTTAGTAACATGCTTATAGAGGACATTTTTATTTTCTGGCTAATGCACATTATTTACGAATTCGGTTGTGTGTTGTCAATGTCTGTTTATGTTAAGTTGTTTTATTCTGTTTGACGGGTTAACTTTGAATGAAATGATATTAAATGATAATATTATCTCATTAGATAGGTATCTGAAATGATTAGAAAAATCCATAATTTATGCAATGTCAGTCACGATTTGTCGAGCATGTAACTGGTAAAAACAAACTTCAACAGCTTGCGGGGAACGGTATTTATCATAATTATTACAACTAAGCAAACTAATGTCTATAATCTATTTTATCAGCAAAGAAACATTATTATGGATCAAGGTAGTAGATTCATATGGTTTGTTTAATTTCAAAGAGCGGTCTACTTTGATATATTTTTATCGTTTCAAAATGCAGTACAGTCAGATTGCTAAAAGAGTTGGACTAGAGAATACCTTTCAATTGAACCTGCTCTGCCGTAGATAGTAATGCTTCCAAATCAGCTGACGATTGATCACCAATCTGAAAGATTACAGAAATAAATTAGTTGAAACTAACTTAATCAGTAATTTAGATACAGTTAATTTCTATGTATTGTACTGGTCAACTTTGTTTAAGAAATATATTTCTTACTAGCTTTTTGTGGAGATTCAATCAATTTAATCCAGTCATTCTGAAAACTGACTTCAAGAAATTATGGCAATTTGTGAACCATATGGCTCATTTTATTGAGAACTCTTGTCCAGATATATTATATATATGTAGTGGACGAAAACTTAGGTGGGGTTGACCAATTTACGGTCTTATGAAGGATTACAGAGTGCTTTCGTAAAATATGAAAACCATAGACTGGGTACATCATCCGCGCATATTCTTTCAGTTGTTCTTGAAGTATTTCTTGATTCTTTTAGTTCTGTTGTTACTTCAATCGCTCTTTGTTTCCTTTCCTGTTCTGTTCAATTCAATCTCGTTCTGGCAGGCATTTCACTTCTGATTGGTGTTACATACTACTTGTATTTGTCAGCATAAGTAGCATGCACCATATATATATTTTTATACTGATTATTGATGATTTATAATTAATACAAATAAAACTCGAGATGTCGTAAATCTTAAATCAGATTTCATAGGTATTCAGCTTACTTATATATTAAAAATGACCAGATATCAAGTCAGTCCTTCAATTGTAAGTATTCAAATGTAGATTGTTTAAATAGATTAAAATAATCCATCGTCCTACTGACCATAACATTATGTTATAAATATATATTATTATTTTAAGGTAATCTAACAGCATTGAATTTCAGGTTTATCCCCCCAGATAGAGTGAGAAAACGTATCTCAGGTTCCTCATTTCGTCGATTTCCTCTATAACTCACCTAATGAATAGACATTCATATACTTGGATTGGAGCCACATTTTAAATATCACTGCTGTTAATATCATACGGCCGTTTTAACCGAAATATAAGAAGAGTTGTTTAATCATGCAATTTGCTAATCGAAGGTCAAAAGCCTTAATCACTGAGCCATCGCTCCTATCTCGTTGACAGACTATACAGTTTGCTATTTAGCTTTACATGTTAATATATTCACAAACAACACTAAACAATGATAATGTTGATTACATTTGATAAAATGTATATTTACTTACATAATTAGCAACAATATATATTTTTCTATACATATATGTTGTCAGAAATGCATTCAAACGAACACAACTTTTGTTTCTTAAATAAATGTAACAATAATAAAAAGTTCTACTTTTTTAGGACGGCAATTTATGTACCTTTATTATTTAGTTTACATCCACTAGTAAATCTCTTTTATATTAATTATCGGCATAATGGGAAGAGAACTAACAGAATAAACTTACTTTAAAAAGAACAGATAATACAGCTAAGCCATTTGGTTTTGAAAGTGCGTTAGAAAAGTTTTGGTATAAAATAAAATTGAATGCATACAGTTGTAGCTGTGAAATAAATATGCAAAAGAAGAAGTGCGTAATACCAGTATAAACATAATTTAGCTATTTTCGTTAAATTATTTAAGACGTTATAACATAAACCAATTCATATAATTACATGTAATGAAACACAGTCTTAGCTAAGCAGTCAGAAAGCTATTCGCATATGGTTTAAGAGTTAGTGAATATGCCGATTAAAATCAGATGTTAAACCGAGTTCATACTGAATATGTGTCCAATAACAAAAGCAATATTTTGTGTTGTTGAATGAATAATGACAGTGTGGTTGAATAATCTATTTTTATTTTTATTTTGACGGTTTAAGCGAACATAATGTCTAAACAAAATGACTTTACATAATACAATCTATTTTGTTATTACCAGCTATCTATCTATAAAGTGATGGATAGAACTACTAACCGTTTTAAAAGATAAATATGAGATCTAATGCAAAATATTCTTTTAATTGTTTAGTAGACAGGTACCTCAGCGGGAAAAGCAATACCATCGATTTGATGATCGGAACCACGATCTGATCTTGAGCCAAATTTGATTAAAGCTCCAAAGAATTTGTAGTTATATACTAATGGTCCCTCACTGAATACAATTGATGCTATTGAATCGAGGATTTTCACCTGTAAATCTTGTCCTGTATTCACTACCTCCACATCAATCTAAAAAAAGGTACATAAGAGTTAATAAATCGAGATGTAACTTTTCGTCATTTACTCGGCTCTACTACTGATTGAATTAAACTAACTTAGGTTTGAATAACAAGCAATTTTACACTAGCAAATTTGGTTAGATCTTCAGTTTACAACAAAAACGTTCTGAAGTACATAATTTAGAAATAAACAACTTGAATGTCAGCTACACCATTATACAAGCAGAGATGTTTTTTAGATGTGTATAATGCGAATCAAGACGTATGCAGTTGCTGCAACTTATAGAACGTTCAGAATTTGTAGTCTTCAATTGAATTCTCTCTTCTTTTGAAGACGCTTTTAGTAGACAGGCTTGTTTTCAAATTTTTGGATCTCATAGGGATTTTTCCCAGTATAAGACCAGTAAATTTCTTTGTATGTCTTTGTACGCACATGCAGCATGAATTGATTTGCATTTTTAGCAAATATTTCACTCTTGCTTGGTTTCTTATGTTTGTTTACGAATAAAAAATCAGTTAACTGCAAAACCCAACAAACACATCCCAGAAACTAGTCAGTTCATACTTAAAACGTTCTCTAAAAATATTTAGAGAACTCGTCAATATATTGAACAATTTACTGCCTTTCATCCTAGCTTTTATGTTATATCAAACTAATCATGAAAGAATTTACAGTCGAACATTTGCTTAAACACACGTTCCCCATTAGAGTTTGTAAATTTAACACTTTTACCGGATAACAAAGTCTATCTTTATTTCGGCCTTTTAAAATAGTGCTGAATTCATTTGTTCAGTTTTCATCTAATTAAACTGACACTTTATATAGAACGAAATATTCAAGAATTCACTGTGGTGTAAATAATTAGGCTCACACTTACTTGCTTATCTGAACCTGAGATTTTCAATGGCACCAAATTAGGATCAAATAGTAGATGTTTCGTGGAGATACTGATTGGAGATTGCATTTTCCCTTGATAACAAGCTGGCCATACGTCATTGGCAATAGCCATGAAAGCTGTCTGTCCCCAATGACTCGGACCTAGTAGTAAATGGACCAAAATATTTTTAAATTTATATGCCATAATAATCATAATACTGGAAATTCACTGTTTTTTCTTCATGAAAATGTTGAAATTAAAATAAACAGAGATGATTAGACGAAAAAATAATTTAAAAACGGCTTTTTTATTGGAGTTTAATAATTAGTCGGTACACTTCAATTTATCTTTCGATAAGAATCTCATTATTGGAAAAATAGCTCAAGTCATTTGCATTTAACTGAATATTGGCGTATATGTTACATATCAAACATAAGGCTCAAACATTTTAAAATGAATTAACTTCAGAAGAAACACTATATTGAAATAGATTCTTAGAGTATTAGCAATGATCCATCATTTTCATCACATCAAACAGACAACATGAAAATTAAAATCTTCACTTAAAATTTTGATATATTTGAACTATAAGTGCCGCCAGGTTTAAATTGCGACGTCAATGAACAACGCTTCTTTCTTGACGACAATATTGAACCAATCCAATCCCAAAAGAAACTTATCGACTGCAGTCCTAACTATCAATGAAGAGGATTCAAACAACTGATACGAACGGATGATTAAGTTACTGAAAACGATTGTTTGCTCAAATATTCTCTGTTTCTAAATATTCTATGTGAGTTTTTTTAATTGCTAAATTAAGAACAGTAAACGCTTAAGGTTATGTAAATTATGCGGTCATATTTTACCGTATATGAATGTTCCATACAAATGAGAATTAAGAACACGATGGATCAGATTTATTTTGAGAATTGAATCAATATATTTGTACTCAAACTGACATGGTGTTTAATAGTAATTTAGATTGTTCAAATCAAGTGTAAGAATAATCCATTTTTATTGTTAAATGTTGACAAATAAATTCATTAGTGATATTTGTTTGGTGCATATTTATTATTCTTATCATATTTGATAATAAAAGTTCATTTCATTTTAAATTATCACTCTTGATTTTACAGATTTGATTGTCATGTTACAGCAAAACGCTGATTTATGTGTACAGCAGTCCATTTCCTACATGTAGTTTGTAAAGATTATGCTATAAAATATGTTAAAATAATCATTCAACTTCATATGTGGAACATGGAAAATCGACTAAAACAAAAATTAATCCATACCTCCCATTACGCCTTCTTTGTAGTGCCACCATGTATCCCAAGAAGGATCCCAAGAACCGTCATGCCACAATGCATTCATTCTCCCTAAAAAATTTCAAATGTATAAAGTAACAACCATTGTCAACACGAAGAAAATTACTTGACACAATGTATTCTTAATGTGCAATCATTTCTGAATGTCTAAACAAATGATAAATATTAAAATGTGAAATCGGTTACATCGTGTTTATCAAGAAACGTGGATTGTAAATAATTTTGTCAACAATATCTATATTTTCAACTGAATGTATTTCTTCGTTGCCACACATTAACAGACACTTCATTTAAATATATTTTCATAATTTCGGTTTATTTCTGTGTTCTATGTCAACATTATTAGTTTAAGTTGCGTTTTAATCTTTTTGACAGCAAACAACTGAAATCCAAAACTGTGTCTAAACTATTGTCCGCTACTCTGGTATCTATTTTCAAACATTTTCCCAGTATATGCCAACTTAAGGTAAATATTATCTTTACAATTGAATTTCCTCGTCAATCAATGAGTGAAATATAAACTTATGTTGTAACCCAACACCAAATCTATTTGGAAATATATCAAACTTTTCATTTACTCCAAATTAAAAGAAAGGTCAATAATGGATGCAGTTGTTTCACACAATTAAATATATTCCTAACAAAATTTACTACCTTATTGATATCGTATAAATTATCATTATTCCATAAAAATAACAAATTATGTAATTACAATTTAATTTTAATTTTTTTACTCTTTTAGAAAGTGATTCGAAAAAAAGGACAATTTATACTTGGTAAAAACATCTCCCTAAGTGCCAAGTAATGTGATCTAAAGATCTAAATAAAAGGATCCGGAGAAAAAAACTGATTGTTTGAAAATCTAATTTCAATTAGAAATTATCAAAAAATTAAATTAATTAAGAATCTGAACGTAATTAATTATTTACTTTGAAAACTTTGTAAATACTAATAACAATGACTTTAAGATTTCAAACAGTTTATTGCATGTAAAATATTGTATTGAAGCAGCATGTATTAGCCATTTGTTTTATTCCAAACTAAAAGCTCTTAATAGTGAATGAGTACAACACTAGATAAGAATAAACACACAAAAGCTACATATGTCGATAGGTCTACAAATATTTAGCTTATACATAGTCCATTCGAAATTCCTTTACATTGATTAATACCACCTATAAAAGTCAAGTCATTGGTTCGATATTTCAGAGCTATCGGTTTATTCAGTAAAGCATTTAAGAATGAAATCAAGTATATATTTTACGCCCTGTACTGATTATTGGAATCTACCGATTTGAGAACGTAGGTTATCCTGAATTCAACCAGTATGAGTACTCAGTAGAACAACTCACTAGGCAGGCATTCAAGTATGAGATACAATATAGGTCTGAGGGCTAGTGATTCTTGATGGTTCTACAAACCGAAGCAGAGGATAGTGGGGTTTAAACTTGGAACTTATTGACTAATAGCCGGAAGCCCTAACATATAACTTGTCCCAAATTATCTAGAAGTTGAGAGCTCTCATGCAAGACCGAAAGTCCTGAGTTAGATATACCGTGATCAGTAGTCCTATACTAGACCGAAACAACTGTCCAGTACATAAACAAACTAGTGGATTTCTTTTTTATTATAAATCAGTAAAATTAGGTCTGTTCAAATTTTATTTCTTATTAGTTTACAATCTTTTCAAGAAGGGAAACTCAAACTGAAAAGCTGTTTTACGTATGGTTGATGCGAAACATTAGTTTATAAATTATATTGATGGCATATTGAGTTCATGTTACATACTCCATATAAATATTCGTTACTGTTTGAATTATTGTTTACAAAGACACAGAACCGTAGGACGAACTACCTGAAAAAATAGTAATTTGTTCTTTTATCAGTTTGATTTCAGATCAGTGATAAAACGAATGCAATTTTTGATGGACAGAAAACTTTGTGGGGAATAATCAACACATTATATCATTTAAAATTTTCCGTAGGGCTATATTCATTGGAACTGAATTATACTTTGACAACTTGGGGATAATTTATTGGCGAACATAAAAAGACTAAGTCAAACCTCATGGCAATGTTTTATTAATTGCCAGCAATGTAATCATGAGCCTCAATGGGTAGCCATATTCGACAATGGGATTTATCAAGTAAAAATGATGCAAGTCAGGTTTTTCATGTCGCTTACTTTTTAACGACAATTTGTATGTACGAAAACAGCATGTTTGTATACTCATTTTCTTAGTTTTTCTAAAACAAACAAAAATCCTCTTTATGACAACTCAAAGGTTCGACGAAATCCTAATGATAAACACACGGAGATTAAATCCAATAAGAATTTCTTTTATCTCAACCTGGATTATTACTGAATGGACAAATAGTAGATTTTAAAAAAGATTATTTACTTCTTAGAGAAGATTGCGAGTTTACGTTTTTACTCAACACAAGTTAAAATCGGTACAAACAAAAATTAAGTAAATGTATACTGCATATTAACTAGATTTGTTACCTTTATTTTAAAAGATAATGCAACCTCTCATTCGAGTGTTTAATTACGGGTAAAATAATAATGAATTACTTCATTTAGCTTAGCGATATTATGTAGTAATCACACTATTTACAGTGCTCTACTACATTAGATAAGAAGCTATTCGCATTTACAACGAACGTAATTTAATCCAATGGAAGAGTAGTATTTAATCCATTTCAGATATAGTGTACTTATTTTTGAATATTTGTTGTTTAAATCATTTGTACTGGTTTTAATTGAAGGATTGTTAAAAATGACTACCGTCTTATTTTCTATTTAATCAACCATTTCTTTCTTACTTTTTTAAAATTCTTTATCAATAAGAGTACAACAATTAAGAAATATCTTTCTATATATATATATATATATATATATATATATATATATATAACACTGAGTAAAGCGTATAATTAACTTTTGTTTATCTATATTTATTTGAAGACTTGGAGCAAATCAAATTTATGTTACACTGATATTATAAAGTGTACAGATTCACAGTATGACCAATGAACCACAACTTGTGATTAAAGTTTGTTTTCATTTCAAGGTATATTTTTTAGTGAAAAAGAATTTGAATGAAATACCCTTCAAAATAATATGACTAAATTTAACTAATATATTCGACTTATTTTACAAGACAAAATAATAATTCTTGTATCATCTTTATTAAGGATAAACTTAGTTATATTGCAATATACAAATGGTATATACTTCCTGTATTAAGTTTAATAAATATGACCCATAACTTGTGTAGCTATCAAATATCGGCAGACATATTGTGGATTTAGCAAACGTTCGCATATGTTTAGCATAGAAATACACTATCACTTCTTACTGCTTGTAATTTTTTTGTGTTATTTACAATATTTATGTATTTTGTTCTTTGTTTTTGACGAGTACTACAACATAACATGCTAATCATGTGACAGACTAGCTAACTTCAAAATTATGCTTTGTTTATGACTTGAAATTTTAGATAATATTAAAAGGATAAGTCAGTATGGAAGACAAATACATAATGTATTCACTTAAATTAGTTCAATTAAGAAATGAAGTTTTTGTACCTTTCAGCAACTAAAACTCATTATTGTGAATATCAGACAATTCCACAAGGTGAACCTCAGTTTAGTGTACGGGTTTATAAAACTCAGGTATTTAAAAACAGTGGATTTATCAGCAATGATGTTACAACAATAGACCTTACGATTTTCTCTCATGAAAGCTGACATCTTGATGCTGATCAAACCGCCTAAATGTCATATTATCATTACAAACTGGATTGGGAATTGATTCTATCCCAAGGGTGGCTAGTAAATATTATTATATTGACCTTGTAATCAATAGCTTAAATGTCTAGTACTGTTACTAACATATAAATGAACAAGACATAATATATAAACGGTATTTGAATAATAAGTTATTTTAGATCAAACTGAAACAGTGAGATAAACGGTTCTACGTTCATCAGGGCAACTTATACACGTCCTCTAGACAAATGGGAATTTCGTACTTGATTTCACAACAGTTAACAGTTGACTAACGCCATAGTTTCACATTCTGGTTTAAATAAAACTAAGGTTTGTGAAGTTTCCTAACTTTTGCACTTAAAGTTTAGAAGGACGAGTATAATGTTGATGAATTACGTGTTTGATACTTCAGTCTTTTATTAAACCTATCTGTAAGGATAACATTGAAAATCAAGAAACGTTTCCGATGTATGTGATTCTACTACGTTGGTCAAAAGTTATTTAATTTAGCATAACATTTATTGTAGATCAGGGTTTAGCATTCCCAAGACATTTTATGCTATTCATTAAAAAATTAATTTCTCACCTAGAAAAAGATAAACATGAAGTAGAAGAAAATCACCTATCATGATGTTTATTTTGCGAACAACTGTGAATTTATTCTAGGGATTGTTTTGAATCAACTAACTTTGAAAATATTTGTGGTGACATTGCTTAGAAAATTGAAACGGTCGTCAAATGTGAATTTTGACTGTCACATAAAATTAACAACAAAATACTTGAAATAGAGCAAAACAATTGTAGATCTAATCACTTCAAAATACATTCGAATCAATCATAATTCAATGTAAAAATTACTATAGGTACAAATTTAGTCAGTCGTTTTTATTCCTGATAATTATTCATTGTTGGTTTTAAACTACTTTGTCAGCTTACGGTATCATTTCAATGGTATAGTTCGAGTATAAGGATTATAGAAAATAAGAAAATATGTAAAGATTTTTACGACATCAACTAAAATAATTCAAAAGTTCACTTAGGCATGTTGAATAAACAGCATATGAAATAAATGTGAATGATTCATTATGAAATGACACTGTCAAATCACTGAAATGATCTATTTGAATAGTCAGTTATCAATGCAAAATTTCTTGCTTAGGTCACAAAATGAAAATACCACATTGTTGTGACACATCTTGTCAACTGTATATGCACTAAACAGCCTATATAGCAACGTAATGTACTATGATTCTAGTCAATTGATGCTTAACGTGTTT